AAACAAGAGGAAGAATGCATAAGAGCACAATGTAGTTAAAGGGATTAGAAATCCAAGATTATTTCTATCATGTTCTAATTTGTGTTCCCCAAGTATCTCTGACAAGTGTTTACTGCATTCCACATAGTATTTAGCATCTGATGTAAGCATTAGATGTATGCATATCTGTAAAGTTTTACTCACCTAATTCAAGAGCAGAAATAAAAGGAAAATACAAAGTTTATCCAGGCATGCTTCCAGCATTATTATGCAGAACACGTTAAATTTCTACTTAAAGGAGATGAAAGAACCACCCCATGATACCAACCCAAACCTTTTCCATTTCTCCCTTAAGTTTCCACCTTTAAAAAGACTTCTTTGTGTTAAATTTATGAATGAGGTTAGGGCTTACAAAAGTCAAGGATTAATAACATTTGCTTGAGCCAAAAACAGTATGATAGGCACTGTGTGCACTCCCCTCCCCAGCTCCGCCAATCCATCTCATGTCCGACCTGCAGTACACCCCTGCTGCTTTTCCAATCCTAGGCCTCTCACAGGCAGAAACTGCCAATGGAGCTGAATGGTGCCAAACTGTCTGGTGGTTTTGCGATACAGCCAAATGGGGACTGTGATGAGATGGAACTCATTTCCATCATGAGCTGAACAGAGATGTGAACTTAGGTGAAAGGATGGAGTACTATGCCATATAATGCTGAGTAGTCCTTATCAGCCACATAAAGATATGAGAAGTTAGAACAAACTGGGGTAAAAAAAACCCAACCAGACAACAGGCTCTGCACAGAGAATTACGTGCCACAGAAAGGTTTGTTGAGTGAATGTCAAAAAGATCCAGAAAATAGGCGAAGTAGTATTTATAGTTTATTTTCTGACTTGCAAAAGAGAAAGACTGTCAGAATGGAATGCACGACAATGCAAAGAATCTTTGGCCTAGATTTTTCAGGGAATTAAAGAAGGTAAGGTATATGTATTAAAACAAGCGGAGCCTAAATGGTTTTAAATTTACCACGTTAGCTCCTGTAATGCCAATTTCAACTATCATTTTCTCTTAAAAAAAAGGTTAAATTGGGTGGTATTCAAGTCTGATTTAGAAACTCAATAGAAACCGAACGTTTAAGTCACAGTTGGAGCAGCTGAAACAGTATTTAAGTTGTAGCCATCCTGACCCAAATAAAAAAGGAAAAAGGAAACACTTTCCTTTAAAACTATTAGCGTAGACGTGGCTTTAGGGATTGCATCAGCTGCTAGGGCTACAATTGGAGTAAGTTTTTTTTAAAGATGTATATTAGCATCACAGTGGAAAGAAAATGGAATTCTGTTGTGTTTAACAAGTTTAATCCATGTATAGAAGCACTGATCTTGAAAGAAAACTAAATCAAACCGTTAAAACAAGTCCTCTACTAATTTTTAAGTATTCCAGTAGATTACATGACAGAGAAAAAAACCCAAAATGTCAAAGCAATGAATAAAATTTTTAATTTGTAAAGTAAAATTTGCATACCTCAGATACATGCATTTAATTTACAAACATATTCAAAATTCAGGTGTCACTACTCACACTACATCACACAGAGACTTCGAATCCACATATTTTTTCCCATTTTTATGTAAGCATGCTTTTTACCATAAGTGTTTTACTCAGTATTTTTGCAAGATTTTCTTCTTTAATAGTAAATTTTGGTATCTACATTCTTCTATTTTTGCTCAGGAAACAAACAAATATAAGACTTGTTGCACTTCCCAAAGTGACAGGGGATGAGTGAGAAAATGCTGCAAACACTTTACCTGTCCAGGGCACATCCAGTGATCATTCTCTATATAGACCCTGCATTATAAAAATTATTAAAGTAAATCTCTTCTTAAAAAATGTGTGACTTTTTATTGAGATCTACAGACAACAGTTAAAAACAGTTTTATGAAACGCAGTCCCATAACGTTCTATTGCTTTTACCTATAATCCTTCTCTAGTGTTTGCTGAAATCAATGCTAGTGAAGCCAAAGAACGTATTCCAGAATTCTTCTCGATTATATGTTGGACTGGTTTTCCAAAACAACTTTCAAATATACTGAGTCTTGAATCAAAATATGTCTGAATCTTTGACGCTGTACAAATCAAAATATGCATGTTTCAGCACCGGGGATAAAATCTAAATAAAACATAAATATAAACCCCATCAATCCTCCACAAAGAAAAAAAAAAAATTAAATGTTCTGTTGAAAAATGTGAATTCCACTGTTTTTGAGAACTCTGTTTAATAGAGGTGAAGAATGTGTAACATCATATCTATAGATCTAGCAGCATCAGAAATGTAAAAAAAGAAAGAGGTATTCCTGATCAGCAGTTTATCCTGCCAAAGCCCTAAGCGTTGCGGTTATATCATCAAACCTGCTTTTACTGGCAAAACTGACAGAGAACATTCAATGCGTATGTGCACAGTTATGCTGGGAAAGACAGGAGTTCATAGAGCATGAAGTACATCCACATTAAAAGGATTTTGCACATTAGCCAAGCAATCCTAATCCAGTCTTGCCAAACTTCAAGCTTTTCTTTGAAGATCCTGCAGCCAAGTTTTGCACTCTGCCCCTATAAGCTGACAGTGCAGTGGCAGGTTATAGAGATCCACACAGGCTCTCTCACATCAGCTTAACTTTTGGCCAGCACGTCTCTCTTTCTCTACATGATCAAAGAACCTGGATCAGAATCTTCTTCAGCATCTCTGCACACCCACAGCTGTCTGGGTATAGGTCTCACTATCAAGGATTCTGAATTCCCCCAGTGATGGCAAAAACATTTTGAATTCTTATCAAAACATATATATATATATATATATATATATATATATATATATACATGCATACATAAAATCACCACATATTCAAGTTCCTAATACAGATATAATTATTTTAAAGTCTGCCATTCAAGTTTGGATATTCTAGGCCTTGTTTTTATTTTCTCTGGAAGAAAGGAGAGCAACTACTACAAAACCATTGCAAAAAGCATAGTGTGATTTGTTCTTGAATACCAAAACAACATGAAGTGAGCCTGTAAAGGCTCTTGTTATTTCTGTTTATAACAGTAACATGTATCCTCACAAACTTCACTTCAGCATTGCTGCGAACAGTGAGAAACATTACTGTACTTAAGAGCACCTTCTTTATTTCACTGTGCTTTATTTTCACTGTGCTATTTATAATGCTGCCTATCAGCAACAGAGGGCTGTGCACCAATGTACTTCATATTGCCAGTCACAGTGTATTTTATATTCATTGGATATACAACTTTTTACAGTTTTGCTAAAAGCCATTTCTGAATCAATTCTCATGTGACTTCTGCCTGCTGTAGAGATGAACAAGAGTAGCCTCAAAAAAGAAAAAGAGTGTAAAATAAACCGTTTATTCACATCTTTTAATTACAACAGTACCTTTCTTCCCATCAGTTTACCAAAGTACTAAAATCCAAAGTCTTCAGATAAAAACAAATTCCCTTATTTGAGTCAGAAGATCTTGCTAGTTAATCATTTATACATAGTTTAAATCTGTAGTTACCCAAAGAAACCAGAAAAAATGAGAAAAGGATTGACCTCAGAAGTACTGGGGGATGGAAAAGTGAAGCAGTGGCCTAATAGGTGTGATCTGAGGTGTTCTGGCTGCGTATAACATGCAAAGAAAAATCATTTCACAGAAATGCAAAATCTCCTGCATTTCTGCAGAACCTGCTGTGTTGATAGGGAAGCTATGGAGCACAGCAGCATGTTTGATGTGCCACTGATAACTCTGGCATAACTTTAGCCTGCCATCAATGAAGTAATGAGCACATTATTTACAGAAAATTGTGTTCACTTCCTACTAACCTAAAACACACTGCTTCAAAGACTTCCACTCACAGTCTTGATTTTTCTGTAACACAGTGAGTACATTCACACTGCAATCTCTCAATTGCTTTTGCTGCCTAAGCAGACCATAAAAAATACATGGTCAAGGAAAGGGGTTTTTTCTCATATTAGTGAGTGCCAGACAAAATCTGCTATTATACTTGTTTATACCCTCCAAGAACTTTTTTTCTGACTTTCTGCACCTTGAAAGCCTGTGTAGATAGTCACAGTTTCCTTTTCCGTTCTGCATTCATCCACACTTATGCACAAATTCAGAAAGAAACTCAAGCCTTATTACCCTTCAAGGAAACATTTTCCTAACTTAGAGTCATGGATACCTTAAAAGTGAATTTATATTAAGAAAAATTAAGCAACTCTGAAATGTAATATTATACATTTAATATACGTTACATATATAATATTATATTTATGCATTATATATTTAATATTATCTTTGGATGGCTAAATGTGGAGGTAGTTGCCCAAATTTCAGCCTTTAGGTTTGACCTCATAAACTTTCAAATTCCTGCAGGCACATTTTTTTAGGTGTATTTCCAGTCTACCACTGAACACACAGTGTCATTTAACAACAAGATTTTGGCCTAAAGCTAATGTTGAACTCAATACTCTTTGAAACTGTTGGGTGAGGATTCAAATGAGAAGTGTGTTTTTAAATTCCCAGTCCATTCTCCAGCAGCTGAAGATCTGTCAAATCCTACTAGCCAAATAGACCGGTCAACCTGGCATTAAATACAACAGAATATTTTAATGGTTAATACATGGGAGTTAATATAGGTGGGATTAGGATTCAGCACATGGCTCTAAAATGGCACTATAAAATGCACTGGAGCATCATTGTCTATTTATATCAAAGAGATCGAAAGATACTATGAGGACAATATCTGAGTTTGAACTAGAGGCTGTGACTGCTGTCAAGTCTTACCCATTTAGAGACTTGGCCACTTAAAACTGCATTTGCTGGACAACAGCTATTGACCTCCAGTTTTGCAGAAAAGCATATGAGAGAGAAGAAGAAAGTGTTACAACAGTCTGTAGCAATATTCAGAAGCATATTTTACAGTAGTGGAACAGTGTAATTTAATCCTACAGTAATAATACATTAAACAATACCTGGCAGGAGCTGTTGGGTAAATTACTTTTATATGTTGAAAAGCCATGTCTTGATTCAAAATTTGTTTTATCCATCCTCTTGCTCCTTGGCCAGTATCACCTGTATCACACAGAATAAAACAAGAAGAATTATTCTGTGTATTTAGCAAGAAAATCACACAATGTCAAATATATTTATTCCAGGTTGACCTTATTTCAAGTCACAAAGTCAATACACCAAAATGCTAAAAAAGAATCTTCTAGAACCTTAGTCCCCTTTTGAATGAAGATGGACTCAAAACTTCCTAAAAAAGACTATTTGAGAGGTACCACAGCACAAGTTTAATAAATACTTCACTAAATCCTATGGCTTAAGTATCTCTCAAGTAGATTCAAGATCCTACTTGTTACTTGACTTATTTGCCGATAAGTGATAAAAAATCTTGATGAACATTTTAAAAAGTGAGATAAAATACCTGCTGCTCCCTGTAGAATAGATAATTACTTACACTGGAGAATTTAATATTAACCCCCTTTAAAACCTACACAAAAGCAGTAAAAAGGCTCTCCACACTTAATTATGCTAATATTGCACACAGACTTTAAGGGAAAAATGTGTTTTGTAAAAGCACTCAAGAGATAAGTTCAGGTTAAAATATCTAGCAAGCTCTTAAAAAAACTATAATCCCATGGTTCTGTTTGAAAATTCATTAAGATCTCACTCTCAGTATAGTTTTTTCCTAATCTCATCTGCTCAGCCTATGGCCAAAACTTCACAGACTGAAGTGCTCCGAACAGATAAGCAGGATGAACTCTTATGCAGACAGCACATGCTCCTTTCAAACAAGTATACATATACAGACCAGACAGTTTCTCGAGCTTGTCTTTGCATCACTGTTATCTTCAGCCATAACTTCACTGCCACCCCCCTGAAAAGCACGCACACACAAGTCTCCAGTGTTAAACAATACTTCAAGTTTGAGGAAACCAGGCCATCAAGGAATATAGTTTATAGCAGGCAGTAAGTTCAACCTAAAAATTGTGGTGGGGGTTCAGCAAACTGGAACTTCACTAGTGCCACTCATGCCACAGGCCTTCAGTCTTGTCTGAGGCTGAGGTTCCCACATATTATCCACTCAAACTGCTAATCTGAGTTAACACTACTCTCTACTACTTTATCTCAAGTTGTCTGGTTTAACTTTAGGACTCACCCTATTCTTTTCTAAAAAATTCTTTTCCTCAAACCATGAGGGGAAAAAAAAAAAATCACTGCCCTAAGCCAGGTTTACTGCCACCTTACATGGGCTCATCTGAACAATGTTGCATGAATACACCAATTCATAGTTATAATGTTACAAAGTCCTCAATGGAGAAAATTTGCTCTTTATCACTCAAGTAAAATTCAGTGATGCTTATTTATACACACAATTAATGCATCTTGGGAATGAAAACAGAAGGCAAGAAGGATTCAAAGCCAGGGTTTGTTTTGTTTTGTTTTGTTTTGTTTAAGCACAACTGGCATAACTAGAGCTGTTATCTGTTTGACCTAAATGATCTATGTGACAAATAAGCAACAGGGTTGCAAAGCTAATTCCGTTACAAAACTTATTCTGTGGTAAGTCAAACAATGAAATCAAAGTTGCATCTTTCATGCTTCAGAACACACTCCCACAAGCACTTTTCTTAAGCAACTAGCACGGTCTAAGTCCAAACACACCTCTGTTTCTTCACAGACACACCTGATGTACAAGGATTTCCTCATGGTTGTTGCCACCTCATTTATAAGCAACATATCTTTGGGAGGCTTGAGTAAACTTTTTCTTTTCTTTTCTTTTCTTTTTTTTTTTTTTTTCTATACACTCCTCTTATTTTAGCTAGAAAGCCAAGATCTAGGCTCTGCAAATACTTGCATAGGACCAATCCTCAGGTTAGTCAACCTAAGCAAGTATCTGAATGCTTACAGAATCAGGACTTCATTAGTCTTTACAAATGCCTTAATCATGTAGAATACAGAATTTTACTATTTATTCACACTTCTTAAACTTTGCAAAGATCTCCAGAAACATTAAGTTCCTAGCTAAGGAAGCTAGTTTGTCCATTAAAAGTTCACAAAAACTCAGTAAGAGAAAATTTAACTATGACCTTCTGTGTGTCAGGAGTCGTTATGGCCCAAATGCTCCCCAAACGCAGTGAGCACTTGCATGCACACATAATGCATTTTGATTTGCTAAGAATAGAATTTGGAGGGGAGGGAGAAAGAGAGAAGATCGTGACATCAAACAAAAGCCAACAACCTTTGGAAAGGTTTTCCTTTCAGGCTGTTCTTACATTTTAGCATCATATGTTCTTCTGAACACTACAAGAAGCAGCAAAGAATTAATGATGCTGCTTTGACTGATGGCAACAACATTATCTTTTTGCCCCTCCTCAAACAAAATATGAAATTATTTTCCTTTCAAATACAGCTTGAATTTCCAAATTTTCTTTCTGCGTAAATTTACCAACATGTAACATGTAGGCTGGATATTAGGAAAAATTTCATCACCAAAAGGGCTTTCAAGCACTGAAACAGGCTGCCCAGTGAGGTAATTGAATCACCATCCCTGAAGCTATTTAAACGATGTGTAGATGGGGCAATTAAGGACATGGTTTAGTGATGGATTTGGCAGCGTTTGGTCAATGGTTGGAATCAGTCATCTTAAAGGTCTTTCCCATCCTATGATTTTGTGCATGTTACAACATACAAATTTGTAATCCTAAGCCTAAAAAAATATTATGTATTTGTTATATCCATTTGCCTTCCCTGAAAAGCTATCAAATGGATCCTCTACCTAAATTTGATGTACAGTACCAGGACTTTTCTAATACTTTTCTATATAATTCTGCACTTATTATAATTTGTATAGAGTAAGCATTATGAACAAAATGGATTCATGCCACTTGACTGCCGGTTTCCATCACAAGTGCTGTACAGAAGGTTTACAATTCAGGTTTACAGGCCAGCCCACAGCAACAGCACTGTGGCTACTTCTGTTCTAAATTCTATTCTGCGGAACTGCTAAAAACCAAATAAAAGAACCCTTGCACTTCTCCATTGCAAACATTACGAAGAAAATCATATAAAAAAATGAAAAATTGTAGAGTACTTTAACCACATGTGGAATCAACCTCTAACCATAATCTTCCCTTACTCCTCCAACATTAGAGAAAATTATTTCCTCAAGCATTAAAGCATTAGTGTTAACAAGGGGGCTGAACACATCTTACAAACTTTCACTTTCATTGTTTTACTCACAGAATTTTAAAAAAGCAAAATTAAACTAGGTTATAAAAACAAAACTAATTTAATAAGCACATACAGCTTTGTTAAACTAAACAGAAGCATCGGCAAAAAGCAAAACTAAGAGAAAGACACTCAAAGATTTGAGCGCATTGCCATATGCACATAGGCAGCTCAACAGAATGGATTCCCAAGGCCTTGATCTAATAAAGATCTATGATTATTGTGTTTGTTTGTTTTTTTTTTTAAACTCATGTGTTATTATTTAGCAGGTGTTTCTAAGGAAAAAACCCAACAACACACACACTCCCCTCCTGCCTTCAAAATGGTCCTTGATGCAGGTAACTCCCCTCTCTACCTGGTGGCCACGTAGCGAGTCTGTACATAGCCAAGACCCTTCTAACAGAGAGAAGTCAGTCTATCAACACTGGCTTTTAACAGGTGACAACAATACTCTCAGGCTGATCCAAAAACACCAAGAGCCACTTTGACTGTGAAAATAATCTTTTGCCTGTGGCTACCCTCTGAGTGGGTCAATTAAGAGAGCAACAAGACTCGAGGAAACAGCATGAGGTTGAATCGGGGTAGGTTTAGGTCAGATATCAGGAAAGGGTGGTTGGGCACTGGAACAAGCTCCCCAAGGAAGTGGGCACAGCACCAAGCCTGAGTTCAGGAAGCGTTTGGACAACGTTCTCACGCACATAGTGTGATTCTTGGGGTGTCCTGTGCAGGACTCGGCTTCGGTGATCCTGATGAGCACCCCCCCCCCCCAACCCCGGCACGTTCTATGGTTACATGATCTTCTACAACGCGTGTGTTCTCACGGCACAGGAGGCCAGGGCGGTGTGGGCCGGCACAGCCCCCCGGGCACAGACCCATCGCCCTGTGCCCGCAGCCGCCTCCTCCTTCCCGGCCAGCGCCGCAGGGACAGCGACACCTCACACCCCCTCCCCGAGCCTGGCAGTCACCTCTCCCGCAGCCCCCTTCCCGCAGCCCACTTCCCGCAGCCCCGGGCGGGGCACCCCAGCCCCGCTGTCGGGAGCGCCCCGCCGAGCAGCGCCCTGCCCCAGCCGCGGGGCAGGGACGGGGGGAAAGCAGCCACCTGAGCCGTGCAGAAAGATGAGGGAGGCGGTGTGCCTGCCCGCGGGGGACACCACGCTCCTTCGCAGCGCTGTGGGAACCGCCATCCCAGAGCCCTCCTCTCCTCCCTGTGCTCCTCCCCCGGGCCGGCCCTGAGGGTTCCGGGCCTCCCACCGCCCTGTCTCCGCCCCTCGCTCCTCTCCTCCAGCGCCCCCAGCTTTCGCTTTTCACGCCGTGGTCCGTTATGTGTAGTAAACACCGAATCTCTTCAGAGCGCGTATTTAGCAGTGCCTTGTGGCAGGCAAGATGGGGCTCCAGCAGTAAAGAGGGGGCTGCTCCTTCCCTGTTGACATACGAGTTCGGGAGGTGTCGGGAGTGGGTCCTGCGGCCTCACCAGGGTTACACCTTCAAGGGCAAAGGCCTGGCTGAAAGAAAAAGCAGAGGGGAGGCGGGTGGCACGAAGCCGTGAAGGCTCCTTCGAGGCACATTACAAAGGGAAGGGCTTGCAAGGACCACCGTGAAAAAGGTCCGGTAGACATTTGAAAGCTTGTCTGACCTTGTCTAATCCATGTCTAAGCACAACTATTCTGTTGCTCTTGCTAGTTCCTACTGAGCTGGTGTAAGGGGATAAGGAGCAGAAGCTTACTTTTCTACTTTTAGGTAACTTATACAGGCTCAAAATCATATTTTTTTATTTTTTTTTCCCTAGTGCTGTGCAGATTAAGCACCTGCCTTAGTACTTTGAGGTCTGCAGCAGTGGAACAAGGATGACCAGTCATAAACTCCACTATTGCCATTTCACTAGCCAGGTGCAGTGCGACCCAGGGGTGAGCGGCAAGTTTACAGATTAGTTTTGCAGTTCATCACAAAGTATTTTGGCAAGCCATAGAGCCGCACCTGTTAGTTCTTAAAAATGTAATGAAACCTTAGCCTCTTGAGGTAGCATGTTATTACCTTCAGAATGGCCCGTGGGTTAAGTAGATGAAACATCAGTGTGTGTTCAGTATGAACAGCATGCTGTGCTTGTATTTCTTTTCAAATTGCTGTCCTGACTACTATTTTCCTGTATGTTTAGGCCATGAAATCCTAGGGCGCTGGTTAAACATAGACTGACAAATGGCATGTTATGATGCCCCTTCAGAATGTATGCAGCTGTGTTTTTAATTTATCTAAAAGCATCCTGCAGGGGCCAAGAAGTAAAGAGAAGAAAAAATAGTCAGATAGTTGGGGAAATGAAGAAGTTGTATGGTGGAAAGGGATGAAAGGTATACCTAAAATTTTCTACAGTGTCAGTTTCCCAGTTAAAGAACACAAAATTTCAGGGAAGTATTGCCACCATGAACAAGTTACTATTGCCAGTGCTTAGTAGCTGAGGCGCACCTTACTTTGACTTGCAGTGTACAAAAGTAATTGTGGTATTTGAGACATTAAGGCTCTACTTTTATTTTTAATTAGCTTAGAAGGAAAGTTTAGTTATTATTGTGGAACATATTCACTCCTTTAATTATGCTTATTTATAATATTTTAATTTATCTTACCATCTTTCATGGCATTGTAATTTTTTGAAGGCTATTATATGTGAAGAGTTACTGAACAAAGGAACATCACTGATGTGTGGCTTTGGACAAACTCTTCTGCACAGTTATGGCAACAAACCATGATCAAGCCTTTTTAAAGCTTATGGATTATCATTCCCTGCCTCTGAGTTATAAGGTTGGAGGTACAAGATTTCTTTGCGCCAACGCATAAAGCTTGATGCCAGGAACAAAACAAAGGATAAAATATCACACCATGCAAAAATAGCACTTGAGGTTTGGAGGATTTTGTGGGTTGAGTTTTTGAAAAGAGAAACAGTCAAGGCATAAGATTTTTTTTTTTTTTTCTGTCAGAAAACAAACAAAGGGACAACTTTGTCTTTCCCTGAGTGGAGAGGACTCTGGGGCTGGCTTCGGGGGAAACACTAAAATTTCAAAAAAACTGAAGACAAAATAGGCAACTACATAGAAACTTGTGAAAGAATAGGAGCTCTGAACAAACATAAACGGAAAAGAGCTATATTACAATTCAGATGACAACAAATTTACTTGTTATTTATACCCAAAAAAATATTTTCTTGGGATATTTTTGAAGTGTATTAATGATATGGAATATTAATGATATAAAATGACATTTAGTGATTAATGAATTTTAATTACATTTAAAAAAGGAAAACACCAAAACCCAACAAAACAAACAAAAAGCCAACCCCACAGCAAAAACCCCTCCATACTATAATAGGTCTGAATCAAGTGCTCAGAAATAGCCAGTAGATAATTCTATTGCTTCTAGGTGTTTTCTATTGTTAGAGGGATAAAAGTCCCCTTCCCTGCCAGTTTTGCCTTCTACCTAAAGAAGTGGAGGAAGGAGGAAACATGCTTGGACTAAGAACTAGAAAAACGTTACAACTGTTTTCCTGGGCCAAATCTGTGAAGCCTATGAAGCAAAAAGATGTAATCCATGAAAATCATGGCTGCTGCTAAAACCTAGCTTTATTAACTGAGAGGACTATTCTGAATGAATTGCCAGTCTGTTAATAACTGTAGAAAATTATAGGCAATATGGAAATACCTTGCAAATTTTGTTAAACTAACATATGCTTAAGTTCTCATGCTTATGGTGTTTTACAAGTCTTTTACTGCTGACATGTAACATCTTCAAAAGGAATTTATTAGATTTCACAATGTTAATAAAATGTGATTCCACACCCTTAAAAACATTTTCTGTAGCAATTGCTTCTCTTATTTTTTTTTCCTGGGCTTACTGAAATAAATGACTAAAATTGACTTAGAATGTGAAATAAATATTGAAATATAAATAAGTGACCATATTTAAGTTTTCTAAAGAAAGTAAATGTTAAGTGTGAGCTGTGTTTTATTCCTTAGGATAGGTCCTTGCTCAAAGTGCTCACTGTATTCTGCTCTTTCACACTACCTCTGTTCAGAAAAAACCTGAGAAGATTTTAATTTACTTGCAACCATTTTGATACTTTTTCCCATTTAAAATGGCCTTGCACTTAAAAAATTGACTGTAGCTGAAAGCAGTATGTCGCAGAGTGATTTTTATGTTCATTATGTGTACATATATAACACCCAGAAATGCTGTTACAACTGTATATGCAGAGCTAAGGCTCTTGCACCCCATACTGAAAAATAGCTTGTAGGTATTGTACAGTTACTGGTTTGTTTTTTTTTTTTAGTAAATGAGTTAATCCACAGGTGCTTCATTGATGATTACATAGAAGTATATGTGATTTCTAATTGATTGTATTATTATACATTTAGGTGATTTTGATAGAAGTAGGGATTTTGGTATGGATGTGGGAATAAAAATTTTGAGTATTTGAAACTTTCCACATCCCCCCTTATTTCTTTCTCAGCATTGTGACATTATCATCGCCATGTCAGAAGATCAGATAATTGAGTGAAGCTATTCCATACTCATTTTCTTCATTTTTACGGCTTTAAAATTAAATGCTGAATTTCTTTGACTCTTTTGTACATTTCTTCCCTCTCCTGCCCTTCTCCCAGTGTTTTACAGGCTCAAGGGTCTGTCCCCTATTTTTAAGACCATCATGCCAGTTACTGTGGTCTGATAAAAATAAGAAACTATCCTCCAATTTTCAGGTGGTTTCATTCATTGGAACTCAGTGGCAGTGCTTTGACACAGAATTTACTTGGCATGGGGTTATTTTAGGTCTCCCCTTTCAGCATACATCTTGGCATAGTTTGTTCTAAAACGTTCTTGTAAAGAGCTCTGCACGACTGCCACAGGAGAGGTAGGAAGTGCCACATTCAGGCACAGAACCCAGTCGTCCATTTATCATGGTAAACTACTCCTATTCTTACCAAGCCAAACAGAAAATGTGTTTCCATTCATACGTGTTAATTTAAAAAAAAATAAAAAAAAAAAATGGAGTCTTTAGCAGGTGATCAACGTTCAAAATATGTAGATTTGAAAAACTGTTTTCCTGTCCAGTCAAAAGTATGTTTTGGTACCATGTCCTGTCCCCTATGAGAAAAAAAAAAAAGCCCCCTGGGTAGGCTGCATTCAGAATATTGTACGTCCCAACTCTGATTTACTCTGGAGCTGACTAAGGAAAATCAGTCCACCAGAGAAAAGCAAGTTGCATTCTGCATCTGAATACTGTCTGGAACTTTGGGATCTTGACCCAGTGTTTCTAGTTACAGAACTAGGTAAACAAGTAATAAATAAACAGATCATATTCTTTTTGGCCCAAGTGTAAATCATTATTTAGGGTCTTGTGAGATAATTTTGCTAGGAGGAGCCAGGTATTTACTGCATGCCATCTAATTTGTATAAAGAAGGCTCAGTCCCGGGGACAACAGGAGGCAGTTCCCTTCTTCAGAAATCTCAACCTGCACCTAGCCAACACTCTGCCAAAACAAACCCAGGCTTGGCTACGTTACTCATGCATGTGTGTTTCTTCTGCCTGCTCTTTGTTGCAGGTTTGCTATTTCTGAGTCACTTGGATGTCCACTCAGCCTCAGCATCTGCAGGCATCCCCAGACAAGCTCCTTGGCCTGTCTTGTTCAGCTTATATCCTGCTGAAGCCTGGAGGGATGTTCCTCAACCAGAATTCCCTGAAGAATCTCACAGGCATGCTTGGGGCTTACCAAAATCATATTAACCATATTCTCAGCAAACAGCAAAGGTGCTTTCTATTATTATGTGGACTAGTGGTGTGTGCCTTTTATTTAATGTGTTGATGATTAGAGCTACAGCTGCTAACTGGTGTGACTGGCTTTACATGGGTTTGACAGTTGCTAGCAGAGCTGCTTTATGTATCAGACAGTATTTCAAAGATTCTTTTCCTGGGTAGTGAACTCACCTGGGCATAGGAGATTGACTTCAGGACTTTTGCAGAAGATTAAAATGCTGTGGAAGGGTTTGGCTCCACTGGAGCTTTGTCTGTGGGAATATGTTGGTACTGGGACCACAGATATTATTAGTGTTCAGTAAAATTTTTGGACTGGGAATGAAAGATCCCTCATGGATTTAATATGTTTACCTGGCAAGTTTGTTACACTTTGTGGTTTTGTTGTGTTTTGGTACTTCTCTCGAGGACCAGTGTTGCATATATGTTACTGAATATGAATCTCAGGTTCC